TTGGCATTGAAGTTCTCAAATCTCAAGAGGAGATCTTTATTTGTCAAAAGAAGTATATCCTTGATCTTTTAGTTGATACTGGATTAATGGATTGCAAACCGGCTGTCACTCCTATGATGGTTAACCACGGACTTCAAATTAATGAGGGAGGAATACAAGCAGATCAAGATAAGTATCGAAGACTTGTAGGCAGACTTATATACCTCGCACTCACAAGACCTGATATTGCATATGCTGTCGGAGTGGTAAGTCAGTTCATGCACAAACCACAGAAGGAACATTGGGATGCAGCTATCCGAATCGTGAGATATCTTAAGGGGACCATTAATATGGGAGTTACATTCAAAAAACATGGTCACTTAGATATTCAAGCCTACACAGATGCTGACTGGGCAGGGAATCCAAATGATCGAAGATCCACTTCAGGGTATTTTACCTTTGTTGGAGGTAATTTGGTCACATGGAAAAGCAAGAAACAAAAGGTAGTTGCTCTATCAAGTGCAGAAGCAGAATTCAGAGTGATCGCTCGAGGAATTACTGAAGTTCTTTGGCTAAGAAAACTCCTTAAAGATTTGGGATATCCGCCGAAGGGTAAATGTAGACTGATGTGCGATAATACCGCTGCTATTCGTATATCAGAGAATCCAGTACAACATGATCGTACCAAGCACATCGAGATTGATCGTCACTTTATCAAAGAGAAACTCGAGGCAGATATCATCAGTCTTCCATATGTCCGATCTGAAGATCAATTGGCAGACATTCTCACAAAAGCAGTACCAGCTGGACTCTTTCAAGCAACATTAAGCAAGTTAAACATCCGAAACAGATGATTCAACTTGAGGGGGAGTGTTAGAAATGTCAAAGGAATAGTGTCAAACAAAGAAATAATGTTGATGACTAGGATAATATCCTTGATTGGAATCAAATTACCAATCCAAGATATTTTATTATCTTCCACTTACATTCCTTGATTGTCTAGATTATTCACTTTGTAATATTTATACTCATCATTTGATGATGAATTTAATAAGATGAATATTATGCTGTGAATTCATTCTAATATTTCTAATATGATGTTCATTTTAAATAGAAAGGATATGCGTGATTTGATTTTGACCCATAGAATTCAAATATTGGATTTTCAATTCTTTGCATGTGCTATGGGATTCAAAATGTGAAATTGTAATTAAATTCTAATTCCATATATTTTTGTACTACCAAATACTACCTCTGTCTCTGAGCATTTGTCAAGTTTTGAGTTTTTTGGTCAATTTTTTTGAATATTTGATCTATAATTAAATAAATTATATTTTAATTAAATAAAATAATATTTTGAAAACATTTGATATAATAAATCAAAAAAAAACTCTTTTTGTATCAATATCTAATATCATTTTTATTTAATTTTAAGTCAAAATTTACCAATTTTAACAAAAAAAGTCAAAAATGGACAAATACTCAGTGACAGAGGGAATAATAAAATCAGAATTAAAGTCTTCAGTTCCAATTCCATGACCTGAATTCCGTCTACCAAACGGAAATATGGACTTTGAAAACAATTGGAGAAGCAAACACATGATAAAATGTAAGCTTTAAAAGTTCTAATACAAAAGGCCAAAACAGTTCGAATATCTTGAATAAAGATGTATGAGTCGTTGAAGAAGCTTTGTAACAAATAGAACACACCAAGGAATTTTGTTAACTTCAGTACACAAGGCGATAGTTAACTTGGCACTTCTTCAATGGTGGTGGCGGCAATCATAATATCATCCGAGGAGCGTTTTTCCTCCTTCTTGACAATGTCATGTGGTTCTTTCTCCTTCTCCAGCTCTTTTGTCAACCTTCTGATATCCGCATCCTTTTCTTCCAGCTTCTCTTGCAATATAAATACCTGCAACCCAATACCTCTTAAATATATGAATAAACACATAAAGTGTGAACTGTGAACCTAGAGTGTTTTAAAACCATGCCCTCAAAATTTACTAATTCTTTCATTCATAACCTAAACATAGCCGTAATTGCACAAAAGGAATGAATGTACAATATCAGTTAAGCAATCCATTATTATTAATTACTGAACAGTGTGGGGGCGTTTGCCAAATAGTGGAAAGCTAATAAAACTTTTGCCAACTCCCCAACTCATTTACCCACTTCCCAAGAGTAAGAGAACTTTGGACACTTGCCCCTTATTTTCATCTTCGTACAGGTGCTAAAAAGAAACCAAACATAGTGTTGGACAAATGTGAAAAGATAATTATCAATAACATTTGAATAACACCCCGTAATAATTATTACAATTATTATAATATAAAGGAGCATAATGTTTACGATCACAGCTTATCATTGGTAATAAAAACAATAATAACATGCTCTTGCATCCTTGTCTTGTATGTAAAAACAAGCTCCAAAATGACAAGTACCAAGTTGTTTTTGACATGCTTGAGAAATACAACTGTGTTTGAGAATAGTTCAGAAAAGAAATATAAATAAGTAAACAACTAACTTCAATAAGTCAAAGAAAACAGAATAAAATCTAAACTAAAAACCCAACTAGTGTAGAACAATCACCTAATAATTGTAAAACAATGTGCTTGTCATTTGGAGGGCTCTTTCTTTTTTACATAGAACCAAAGATAAAAGAGTTTCTTAAACAGTAACACACAACTCAAATAAAAAAAATCCCAACTCTGTTTGGGTCCGGGAGATCACGTTGTACAGTCTTACCCCAAGAGAAACAATGTTTGTTTCCGTTAGTCGTTAGACCCTAGATGCAGTGCTGCATTTACTACCCAAATTATCAAAGAGAGTAAGAATCAAGGGAAGTTTAATGCTTCATTTTGATTTACTCCATTTTGTGTGTTAAACTAAAAGATTGTCAATAATAACTCTTTTAGCTCCATTGGCAATGGACGGAAACATTACAACAACAACAACAACCCAGTTGGATCCCACTACAGTAGGGTCTAGGGAGGGTGTGTGTACGCAGACCTTGCCCCTACTTTGGAAGCAGGGAGGCTGTTTCCAAGAGACCCCGGCTCAACCTGCACAAAAAAATATGATAGAGTACACAGTATAGCATGGATAAAACCCAAGTACAATGAAAAGAAAGTTCTACAAGCATTAATAGAAGATTCCAATCAAACACAACACACTACAAAAAACCTCTATAGCACCGAGTTCCTAACCAGCTACTCTAATCCTAGTTCTCCAAAGGTTCCTATCTAAAGCCATATCCTCAGTCAGGGTGAGAAGTCCTAAATCCTGTCTAATCACTTCCTTCCAATGTTTCTCAATGGACGGAAACATTGAGAAACATAAATCATAAATGTAAGCCAATCATTTAAAACACTAATTACAACTAATCAGAACTATAGAAAAAGAGGAATTACCATTTCATTAGATATTTCAACATCATTAGTCAGTCCCTCTATTTGCTTGCACAACCCTGCATCAATAATCGAAGACAGTAAATTATCAACACAATATTCAAAATACAAATCAGAAAGCGCTCATGTTGGATAAGAAAAGAATACTACTAGTGAGAAGCAAGTAATAAGCAAACAATTATGATTACGGAATACAAACTCCATGCAAAAGAAAACAGTTACTCCCAAGCAAAAGCAAACAATTATGATTACGGAATACAAACTCCCGTTTTGACTTTACACAAAGTCTAAGAAAGGTGAAAATGTGTTGTTGAAATTTGAGCAGAGGTAGAATGAATGTGAACCCATAGATTTCTTTCTTTAAATGGAAACGGGAAGACTATATAAGGAAAGAGGGACCATTAAAGTGTTGTCTGGTACAAAACATCCAAGGTCAGTGACTCCCCTCCACCCACCTGCTGGTTCTACCTAATGTCAGAATGCAATTGACCTCTTACAGCTAGACAAATTATTCTACGATTTTTTTTTCATAAAATTAAGGAAAAATTAATGCAGACACTCCCGAATTATTTTGATTTTATGATATAATACTCAGATTTAAAAATAGCCACTGCTACTCCTTGAAATTAAAACATTTTACATCATCACTGTCACTGGACAGCAAAACTTCTTCCATTTTGGAGACTAAAGACTGATTCAAATGTAAACTTAAGTTCAATTGACTACTTGGATTGTTGCTACATCTGGAGCCCTTATACCTGTAAAAGAGAAATCTTGCAACTCTATTACTACTCAGAAAATTGTAGAAAAATACAAACCTTCCAAATGACTTCTAAGTTCTGCATTCTGTGACTTCTGCAATGCTAGTTTCATTGCCATGTCATGCATCTGCAATCAAAGACAATGGAATATCATAAATAGAAAAGCAACGATGCATGTCTAATTTAGGATAACATCCATACTGAATTTTGAAGAATCAAACGCTTGCAAAATGTCTGATTAGCAATTGGCCAAACACCACCCTTAAATTAAAGCATGTTCCTTGATGCACTCTTTGGAGAGACAAACAAAGTTAAATTTTAAAAAAATCTAAGAATGCTTTCTGAATTACTCCATCCTTTCTCTTTTAACTGTCGATTTTGATTTTCCATGTTGTACTTTGACAGTCTATATACAAAAATATACAATGAAATAAAATAAAAAATTACACCACTAAACTTGTATTAAACATAATTTTAATATGTTATAGCTTTTAATACCATTTTTGGTAATAAATTTTTAGAGATATGGTTGGTCAAATTTGTTACACAGAAAGTTAAACAGAGAGTTAGAAAAGAATGGAGGGAGTAGCTGATTAAACATTCATAAAAAAGTACGGAGTAACTAGGACCATACAACACAACGACAACCGAGTTTTTTTATGAAAAGCGCTTTTATTAAATAAAACAAAGCCAAATGTGGATGGAAAAACCTCCAACTCACCAGAAGACAGATGTCCAAACAGAAATAAAAAAAATTAAATAAAGGAATACATAGTACGACAACCGAGTTGAATCCCGCAAAAGTAGGGTCTGTGTGCAACACAAGGACTTCCCAAGGGATCACCCATCCATGTAAGTGTGATCATAATTTTTTAATTAAATACATTTGTAAATGTCATTTTATTAATGTTATAAATTTTCTAGTACATCTACACACATCAATTAATGCTTAAAAAAATTCTAAAAATTTGTTAATAAAATAAGATGGTTTTAAATATTTGAAAGAAAAAGTAAACAAGTTTTTAAAAGGAAATAGTGATATTATATCAATAACATTTGAAGAACAATGGCTTTGCTAATGAGAGCTAAGGGCTACTTTTAAGGGGAAAATGGAGCAATTCCATTTGTTGGTGCTCGATAAAAATCAGCGCAAGGTTCATAAGGGAGGTGAGGTGTTTTCTCAACCAATGGAAAGCTTTGAACTTACGCCTTAAAGACAACCTTTACGGCAGTCATTAGCACTTTCCTAACAACAACAACAAGCCTAGTATATCTCAACTCTTTTGTGGTCATGATGTATACAACCTTACCCAAGAGGCTATTTCTCCTAGGTTCTTTTGGTTTTACTACCCAAAAAATCATAGAAAGTAAAACCAAAGAAAGGTTAATATGACAATTTGATTTAGTCCATTATTTACATGAAACTATATAACAATAACAACCCAGTTTGAGCCCAAAAGAGTAGGGTCGGGGGGAATGACTCTATTAGCTCCATTGGCAATGGATATAATACTACTAAACCTTCCATCGTGAAATTATCTTCCTACTTTTCTTTTCAGGTCGTCTTAAAATTATCTTCTCACTTAAATGATAAAGTATATGTTCAATGTCGCTTTTGCCCTTACACAGTTATTACTCCCATCTGTTTCATTTACAGCTATTACTCCCATCTGTTTCATTTACTCCAACCAGCCCTTGTTTACTCCCCATCCCTTCACCTACCACCACTTATTATGTCTTCTGTTTTTCTGCCATCTCATCTTCTTCCTTCCTACTCTCTCTTTGCATCTCATCTTCTCCCTTCCACTTTCAACCCATAGATTCGCTCTCACCCACCCCGTCTTTAAATCTTCTTTCTACTTCATTACCAACTTCACCTTTTTCATGCAAGACATCTGAACCCTAGATATGCTCTCCTCAAAATCCTATATCTGATCCACTTGCAGTTTTAATAGTCCTTGACTCCTTGTGTGATGACGACAACTACACGACGACAACTACACACAGTTAATGATTCAGTTTTGAGGTGCAGAGCTGTGGGGTCAGGTCTGAGACAAAGATGATGAAGAAGTGGTTGTTGCGGACAAGGAGCTCGATTTCGGTGTCTTTGTCAGCGGCTGCATCACTGTTGTGTCTTTGTTGTCCGTGGTTGTGTTGGAAAACTACGAACTTTTACTTTGTAATTGTGTCGGCCTGTAAATTGTGTATTGGAGTACTTTGTACATTGATGTGGTTTTGATTTTTTCTTTGTAAGGGCATTCTAAGAAAGTCAAAGACAATTTAAAAGTTTCTTTAAAAGCGTCCCAAATCAACTTGGGAAGAAGATTATAGGACGAAGGAAGTAATAATTATTATTGCCCAACAAGAACAACAATATATAAAGGAGCATAAAATTAAAGATCATTGCTTATCACTGTTCATAGAAACAATAATGACATGCTCATGCAACTTTGTCATGTATTCCCTCAATCCCAGCAAAAAGTTCCACATTCCCTTTTTGTTTGTCCCAAAAAAGGTTCAAAAGAATTATGTGGCTCACACAATTTCTTTTTCCTCTGCACAGAATTCAACAACTTGTTCACCTTTATTATTAATTGTGTCCGGTCAGATGCGAAACCTTATTTCGGGATGGTGGGAGTATGTAAATACAAGTCCCAAAATGATAAATACCCAATTGCTTTTGGCATGCTTATTTTATAAAATAAATTTGTTTTAGGGAATTTTTTAGGAAGAATATATAAACTTACTTCATAGAACCAAAGCAAATACATACAATTAATTTGAAACAGCTAAAAAACACCTACTGTAAAGCAATTCATCAATGTTAAAGAACAAGGGATACCCAAAATTTCAAGCAATAAGCTGCACTTTATATTTTATACCCACTTCAACCCAAAGATGTGGTCAAAAGCATTGCCAATTATGTTTGAATTTCGGAACCATTTGTTCTCCTATCGGGAAGAAAGAAGAAAGCATTATACACATTATTGTCAATACCTTTCCTTCATTAGCTTGATTACCGATCTCCTCATTTTCCTCTTGTAGAGTCCTGCACTTAGCCATTAACAACTTCCCATTCTTGCTTTGCGGGGTAAAATTTACCGCAGCAATATTGTCTTGCAACTCCTTGACCTTTTTATCCTTCTCATCTACCAAATTCTGCGTAAGATTGGAAACAAGTTACAAGCTACAAAAACATTTTTTAAAAATCACACATGAAGGACAAGCGTTTACAAGATGAACAACAATTATAGCCACGCCAACAAAACTCAATGTATTCCCAGCTCAGTTTATTTCAAGTACTTTTATTTTTATAAATTTCATTCACTTATTTTATTATTATTATTATTACTACTACTACTAATGCTATTTTTATTACTATTATTATTATTACAATTATTACCATTATTACTACTATTACTATTATTATTATGGAGCAATATTTATTTCTTTATATATCTTTTATTTTTAATTTTTTTATTTTTATTATTATTTTATTTATTATTCAATACTTTTGTTCATTTTTTATTTTTGTTATTATTTTTATTTTGTTTTATTATTATATTACTCCCTCCGTCCGGAAATGATCTTCCCATTTGACTTTTCTTGGTCAAAGTTTGTAAACTTTGACTCTGATATGTGAAAAAAATACAATGTATTATGATTTAAAATTAATATCAATATATTCCTATTGAAACGTAGTTTTGAAATATCAAATTTATATATATACACACACACACATGTGTGTGTGTGTATAAATATAGATATTAATGATCAAAATGCAATATTGGAGACCGTGAAAAGTCAAATGGGAAGAATATTTCCAGATGGAGGGAGTATTATTATTATTGTTATTATTTATTTTATTTTTGTTATATTTATTTTACTTATTTTTATTATTATTGAAGCCCTTTGTTTAAAGAGGCTATATTCGTCAAGCTCCCAATAAATAGTTAAAGATGGTGTAAATATGATACAGATCTAGGGCTTCAGTAATTAGTTATCATTATTAGTTTCCTGCTGTCCCCTGTGGGGAATTACACTTTTGAGTTTTTAGTCAACTGTATTAAATTTTGAAACCCTAATATTTTAATGAGAAACGATTCATAGTATAAAGTGTTCTTTCCTAAAAACACTTTCATATATATATAAATTTACAAATCTAACAAAAGTATGTCAATTAAAAACATCAGTCAAAGTTGTCCATCGTTGATTAAAAAAGTCAAACAAGAAATTTTCTAGTTAGACTGAGCTATTATTATTATTATTAATTTACTACTGTAAAATTTGACCACAGTAATAATTATTGACCACACTTTTAACCCTCTTGGCCTCTTCTAAACAAATTTGACCACACTTTTCACTTTTCAACACTTTCTTTTCTCTGTGGAATGACTGAAATCAAACCATCAATTTAATTTTGGGGCAGATAGAGTATATTGTTGGTAAAAGACAGTCAAGATTGAAGTGTCCACATTTTTATGATTTGTACATGCATAAGTATATGATGGATATAATGTAGTAGAGAGACTAAAGCTGAATAGATATAGTAATCCTAGTTGGCTGGGAGCTAGTTACATCTTACACAACTTTCAATCTCGTCCTTCAAATTTTCAACACCGTCCTTTTGATTCATAATTGTTGCTTGCCTTTTCACGTATAACACACTACTTTTTATGGCTTGATGAGAGTCTTCGAAAATCAATCTCTACTCTCTGAGTCTTTGTCACAGGTCTTGAAGCTTTTATAAAATGTAATGTTTTGAACATTTGAGTTTAAATACATACCTACTTTATGAAAAATTGTACTCCTTATGTTTTAGGGATTATGAAATGTAGTATAAGAAACAAACAAAGAACTCATCTACACTTGATATGGCCTAAACGGTGTGCCACACTTTATCTACACCTAATAAGGTATTATTAGGGATTTGAAGTGGTGCATCGCCTTATCTCCACCTAATAAGTTATGGTCTCGAGTCATGAGAATGTATAGATCTAGTCTTGATCTTCTTAAGCACAAAACCTAGGCCCTCTGCCACAGTGCCACCAAGTAGACCGCATTTAAGTGTTGGATTTTCATTTTTATGTGCAGAAAAGGATCCATAAAGATGAAATCAGTGTGCATTCAATGCTTACATAATACCTCACCTAATTCATGCAACTATTCGGGAAAAACCAGTACCAGCCTATCAAGGCAATCTTAGTGATCAAAAGCAACACAAAGAACTAGAAAGAAACAACTATGATGTAGAAACAAATAAAAAATTTAAGCTATGAACAGGAATTGATGAAGGGGAAAACAGTGCATTCCACATTCATAACCACTTAACAAGTACTAATGTAACAAAACGAGAAAATGAACCTTTAATCGTGTGAACTCTTCATGAATTGCTGGGTCTAACAATAACTTCCTTGCCTGTGAAATATAAAAAGGAGATAGTTAAATACGGAAATAGTGCAGGCAATGTAGAAGAGAAGAAAACAAGCTAGAAATGGAATTGGGGTACACAGAAAAATGTTCTTAGCAGTAAAATACATCAGCAAGGATTAAACTGATAGTATTGAACCAAAAAATCATTATTAAGTTAGGGATGAAATAAACTAGATAGGGTAGTACAAAAACATTGTTAGCAATGATTGAACACATAGTATTGAACCAATAAATTCAAAAAAATGACAACAACGAACATCACACTTGAGTTGAATGTTGCCATTGAAGGAGCTCATGGCTAGTTATCCAGAAATAGAAAAATACTTTAATTTTCACATCAATAAGAAATTTGAAATGAAAAATCATGCCAATACTCCTAGAAATTTGAGATTCTAGAAGAATACTCCAGCATTGCATAGTTATCACCAGCGCTCTCGGAAACTCAATATTTATACAATACTAATACCCCAAGATTTCATATTGATCATAGATACACCTCAAAATTCAAGGGTTCCATATAAACTAAAAATTCTCTTGAAGCATTATTGTAAAAATATTGAATTTCTTGGAGCGTCTGTTATAATTACATAACTTTCAAGTGTTCTTGTAAAATCTCACATTTCTATAAGTATTGGCATGAATTTTTCCAATTTGAAATGGCAAACTTCAAAGTCAAACTATAAATCTTGATAAAGTCGTGAAGATTAGACAAAGCAAAGTGATATTAACTAGCCATCTTTCTGGTCAGGTTTGCTTCTAGCCATCTTTCTGGTTAGGTTACTTCTTACTCCTATTCACAAATTGACAAGGGCAGAAAAAAAACATGAACCCATCCTACTATTCACTGATTTCTTGAAATAGGTTTTGAGGTGAAGTATAAATATGTAATAAAACCCCAGAGAGTAAATGTACTGCAGATTTCTTTTTATGTTTGAAACATTATGTTTTACATCTCATGTCTAAATAGAATTAAGAGATCCATAAAAGGGCATAACAGATCCTACACAATAAGAATGGGTGTATGTGGAAGGGGTTATCTAGGCCTCCTTTCCCTTGCTTTTGCAAAGATATAGATTTAAACCCTGGACCTCCATAGCACAGGAGAGAAAGATTCCAGCAGTTGCACCAAACCCACCTTTTATTCAAGTGATCTATGCAAAAAGTAAAACAAAAAGATAACCCCGCTTGGCTAGAGAGGCATGCATGTAACACAAGCTTGACCAAAACCAAGAAATGCTACATTAAGATTAAAAACAATGTTGCCAACAAATTTTGGTGAACTGTACATATATTTGATGTGACAAAAATGAGCAGTTGATGAATTATTGAAGGTTCTACCTTCCCATCTATGTTTTATATCACGCTTAGAGCATATTTTATTTTTTTCTTTGGGCCCACTAGCTCACTAACCAGCCGTGATTATGTGGGGGGAGTTCACAATTAACTCCCCATGAAGACATGAGATGCTCCACGGCTCTCATCCTAGGAACCTCCCTGTGAATTACCCAGGAAGGCATCAACCACATTCTTCTTCATTATTAACAAAGTCATCGTCCTCAACGAATACATCATCCCCATCATCAACACCATACTTTTTAAAACTTCCATCCCTATTAGAAATCTTAGTTGAGGTGAGGATTGGTGATTGGTTGATGGTAATTAAGTTAGTGTTGGGGGAATGCACTATCAATGTCGTGAGTGCCTACGCACCCTGGGCTACCTTGAACACCAAAATTAAGGAGCTTTGGGAGGCATTGGATGGAGTGATAGGGGGTATCCCGCAGGCAGAGAAAATCATCAATGGAGGCAATTTTAAAGGACATATCTGGGTGCTGCACAGGGTTTCGAGGGCGTGCATAGAGGGTCTGGCTTTGGAATATTCTAGAGCAAGTGATTGATGATCGCTAACTCTTTCTTCTGAAAGCGGGAGGACCACTTCGTTACCTTCTACAGTCGCGTGGGGAAGTCGTAGATTAATTAGTTCCTCTGGCAAAGTTGTGGCAGGGCGCTCTTTAAGGACGCTAAAATAATCCCAAATGATAATCCTCCAACCCCACATAAGCTACTCGTGATGGATATCGCGATCAGGTGGGTGAGGAAAAGGTAGACTTCAGGTGGTCCATCTCATATCCATTGGGGAGCTTGGGTGGGGAGAAGATCCCAAAGTTGGTTGCTCAAGTGCAAGAGAAAGGTGGGAGGCCGACATCATGTGGTCTAAGGCCGCAAAGGCGCAAAATACATCAGGGAAAAGCTGCTTGGGAGATTTTAGGGATAGCTAGAGGTAAGGGGAGATGTCATACAAGGGACTGGTGGTGGAGTGAGAATTACAGGGGTACAGTTTGCTTACATCCGTGTTATCAAAGACATGTATGCCGGGTGAGGAGCAGGACGAAGATCTGCCCTTAATCCTTTCTTGCTTGTATCGGTGATGGATGTTCTGATGCAGCATAACGTGGAGATACCTTTGTGCATGCTCTTTGTTGACGATATTCTACTGGTTGACAAGACACGGGAGGGTCTAAACTCTCAATGATAAGTTGGAAGTGTGGCGTCATTCCTTCCAATTAAAAAGTTTCAGATTTAGTAGGACTAAGATTTAGTGCGTGGAATGTTTGCTTTAGTGGTGAGTGGTCATAACTTTATGTCAAAAGTGATATACGGATTGATGCACACCGAGTGCCTAAAAGAGACAAATCTGGATACCTTGATTCAGTCATGCATGCAAATGGGGAGACAGATGGGAATATTGATCATTGTATTGGCGCCATTTGAGCAAAGTATAAGCTAGCTTCAAGTATCCTTTTTAATAAGAAGATATCGAGAAACATGAAAGGGAAGTTTTACAGGACAGTGGTGAGACCACATAATATGAAGCAGAGTACTGAGTGGTGGAGAAAGCGCATGTTCGTTAGCTTTAGGTGGAAGAAATGAGGATGTTAAGGTGGATGTGTGGTCATACAAAGATGGATAAGATCCGAAACGAGGTTATTCGGGGAAGGGTTGAAGTGGGTACCTGTGGCGGATCAGCTGTGTGAAGCTAGGTTGAGTAGTTTGGGCGCTTTTAAGGAAAAGTTCAGAGGCCTGCGGTAATGAGAAGACATGAGAGGCTTGCGGTAGTGGGCGTAAGAAGGGTAGAGGTAGACCTAGGAGAGCTGGAAGGAGGTGATTAGACATGATTTACGACTTCAGGATCTTACTGAGGATATAGCCTTAGAAAGGAACGTCTGAAAATCTAGGATTAGATTACTTGGGTTGACCTTTGGGCCTTAAATTGTAGTTTTTGTTGGAGCGTTTCTACTCTAGTCTATAGCTTGCACATGTGTGCTTTCTATGTTGTAGAACTAGGAAGAGTTAGGGGAGGTGATTATGCAAGACTTAAACCTACTTGATTTCCCCAAGGATATGGCCTTTAGATAAGAATGCCTAGTGATCTAGGATTATAGTAGTTGGGTAGATGCAGTAGCCTTAGTTCGTACTTTTGGCCAATTTGTCTTTATATGTTAGTCTCCAGCTTCCACATGCATGTTTTGGATTTAGTCAGCTGAGTCGGCATGTGTTTCTTTTCTTATGTGTTTCTCCCCTCTTCTTTCTTTGTTCGGGTACTTTTTTGGGTCGCGAGTCTCTTAGAAACAACCTCCCTACTTTCATGTAGGGGTAAGATCTGCATACACTTCCCCCCCCCCTAAAAAAAACCATACTTCTTGAAGGATTCTACTGGGGTGTTATTTTGAATAAACCCAATGGAATTCAAAAGACAATCAAAATCAACAAGCTACCAGTCTGTAACCTCCAAAAATTGGTTAAAAGAGTTTAATTCATTATATCTTTGATTACATGGATTAATTTGAAGATTTTTAAAGTTCTAGGCCTTGTTGCACTGTCTTAACACTTCAAGGGCATATTTGGCCCTAAATCCTTTATATTGTATCAATAAAAGTGTACATTATATCATCCAAACATAGTTGTGAAAAGCGCACATGAGGCGCGAAACGCCAAGGTCAGTGCATCAACAGACTTGATACGCGCGATGTTCCTGAGGCGCGCGCATTATTGCGCCTCATTGCATTATGCGATGTTAAGTGATGCGCTATTAGACGCGCATTGTGAACACCTGAGACATTATTTTAATTTTTAGTTATTTCTAAGATTAGGTTAAGCGATTAGTGATATTCTTTTATTCTGCCTCACCCTTTACGCTTCCACTTATTTTATGAGGCTCAAGAAAAGAAATGAAGATCGAGCGACATACAGCAATAGACTCTCTTTTCCTACTTTGACGATCTCCCTTCTCTTTCTGCCCTGTGCTTCGACCCTCTTCCTCACCATGGATAATGCTACTGCTTGAGGTTTAGCGTGCACAGTTGCCATAGTTGCTACAGTGGCTAGGCGATGCTGGGCGCTAGAGTACCTTACAATCGCCTAGGTGATTAGGCGCCCGCCTAGGCATCCCCTGGGCGAGCAAGCTATGGCGACCTTAATAATTTTATAGGTACTTATGCAAAAGCATATAGTATGAAATATTAATCAAAGAATACATTAATACCAACATTATGCAACAGAGAATTTCAGAAACAACACACCACCGTTGCAATTAAATAAGAGAAATTTAACAAGTACCGAACCCTAGTCTCTGTGAATTGATGTTGACCGAGCCTTTTCTGCGATGAGCAAGATGCGTCGATGAAGAAAGATGCAGAGAAGGTATCGGGAGTGGAAAACAAGAATAGATAACGTATGTTACTAGTATAACATATGAGATAAAGCAAAGGAAAGTATTTTTGTATCAATATTTGAATAGTATACTAGTATAAATAATATGCTTGTCAAGTCGACAAGTCGAGTCGAGTCGGTGACGGGGAGACTAGTGGACTAGGCGACTAGTCGTAGACTAGTCGTAGACTAGTCGACAAATCATAATTAGTATTGAAATTTTTAACATTATATATATCTACATTAACCCAAAGAGAATATATATATATATTTATATGTCAAAATACCATAACCAAAGCAAATTTATGTTTAAAGATAGCACATAAAGTCAACAAAGAGTACATAACAAGCAAATATCCTTCAATCTTGAAAAATAACACACCAAGAAAGATAATTAACACAATAAGAAGTCAAAGGAAATTAAAATAGTTAATTCCATGTTTTGAGGTATCAAATATCATCATCCAACGTTATGCCACCATGACGGTTTTCTTCCATTGTGGTGTCGTAGACAGGCGGAGAGATATGACATTCTAGCAACTAAACAAAAACAAGAGCCTAGAACGCTTAAAATATTAAAATAAGAAATACAAAACCAAAATATCAATTAAATTCAGAAAAAAATTGAAAAATTAAACTGAAAATAAAATTGAAATACTTTATTGAAAAATTAAACTGAAAAAACTGAAATATTAAAAAAATAAAAAAAACTGAAAACTCTAAAGTATATCATACTTTATTGTTTAATGAATCAAATCAATGAAAATTAAAATTTAATTTTTCAGTTTAAGTCTTTAAGATTTCAATTTTTTAAAAGAAAAAATTAATGATAACATCCGACTATTTCAAGTATATCATCCGACTATTTCAGTTTAAGAAATAAATTAAAATAAATACTTTAATGATAACAAACTATAAGAAAACTTACCCATGGAGAGTCGCTGGAAGATAATCGGGTGGTTGATAGTCGCTGCCTAGCTGGTGGCCTGGAAGTCGCGGTCGCGGAAGGAACGCCGGAACTGGAAGACGAGCCCGACTCGATTGTGTGCGGATTGCGTCGCAGGAGGCAGCCGAAGGAGCGTTTTGTTGAAAAATTTTAAAATTAATGAAATTTGGGTCGGGTCGGGTCGGGTCGGGTCACTAGGCCAAATTCTGCGGATTTCTTTCTCCGATTAGGCGTGGCCTAGTCGCGGCTAAGCGTCGCCTAGCGCGCTTAGAAGCCTAGTCGGCCATAGGCGCTGGTCGCCCAGCATTTCTCCTTCTCCAAAACGACCGGACGACTAGTCGCCGACTAGTCGACGCCAGGCGACGACTTGACAACCATACTATATATACATTACTTGGCATATACTTCGTAGAAAACAAGAATAGATAACAATGTTACTTTAAAATAATACAGAGTAGATTTCCTTAAAAAACTCCATAGAACACATATTCTGTATGTTTTAATTACCAAAAAAACAAAGCACTTTACGGAGAAGAGTCGCCTAGTCTTAGTCTATCGCTGGCCAAAACTTTACGCATCGCGCCTTAAATAATTATGCATCCAAACATTTGCTTTTGAATAGAGATTAACCAATGGAAATGAGATTTCAAAGAACAAGTTTGATTACTGCATGGTTACTACTACACAAGAAATAAGAATTAACAAAATAACATTCAAGATGTATAGTTTGCACACCTGCATGGATGGTGGTTTAAGTTGAGCCCTGAGGTCACGAAGGGAAGACTACGGCAACCACAAAAGAAAAAAGAAGATAAGAGAAACTGGTTAGAGTACAAAGAAGATTATAAAGAGTCAAACCACAAAAAAGTTGCTCAAACAGTCAAAGCCTGAAGTTATTGATATGAGATGGAAAAAGAAACCAGAAATCAAATATTTCAATTATTCCCCGTCCCACTAAGTTTAAGACAAGGGAAAAGACACACAAATTAAGAAAAAGTGGGGTCGTGTGGACGTGGTTGATATTCAAGATCCACAACTCTACATTATGGAATATTTTGAACCAAGCAATTATATGAAAATATGGCATGGGACAAACATTTTGGGACTGACCAAAATGGAAAATTTAGAAACATGGCAGAGGATGCACGGAGTATTTCATATCCAAGTGCATCCCAAAAAGTGATTGTGTCTCAAATGTTAGTTCCATTGTTCAATTAACACTTCCAATAAGTGGCCTGTGAGCAAGTCACAACAGAAATATGCAAATTGGTATTTGAAAAATGCTTGGGGTACACCAAAAGTATACCCCAAGTGTACCCCAAGCATTCTCATACCACACACTTTTTAGTGCATAAAAAACGAAATAAATTAATAAAAATGTGTGGTATCCCTAGCATGGTGTACATTTGGGGTACACCAAATGGTATTCTCTAAATATGAGCACAGAATTTCTATTCCAACAGAATTTCATAATCATGAAGGGACGCAACTTCCTGAATATGAAATAAAGATTTCTCTCGCACATTGCACCCTTGGGGTAAGGTTTGCATACACACACCCTCCCCAAACCCTAGTTTTTGTGGGATTATACTGGGTTTGTTGTTGATACTGGCCGTTTGATTTTCCTATGTGGAACTATATAATATCCTTCCATTTAACATATTTGCTTATAGAAACAAAAAGCATGTTACTGAAAAAAATACTCCATTCATTATGCGTCTAGTCTCATCGTGGCACATGCAACAATTTCTGAATCATGTCATTTAAAATTTAAAGTTTTGACATATTCAACTTACATTTAGTAAATATTTCATGGAATATATAGATGTAGAAACTACACAAGATTATAAATAATATTAATGAAATCAAATGAATAAAACATAAATCAAATAAAATGTTTGTTTGACAAATAAATATTAAGCTGGTTATTGGGCTGATAAAACGGAACACGGTGAGTGATACAACAGACCCAAGAAAATCTCACAAAGTGGTGTCTGTGGAGGGTATGGGACTATGGGTACAGACCTTACGCCAACTTGAATAGTAGAGAGGTTCTTTCCAAGAGACCCTAAGCTCAAAACACGGGGACAGAGGAGTAATAAAGAAAGAAAATTGTCTAAGACAAGTTTAGTTGAGGGTTTAATGATTAGGAGTGGATTACATCTGCACTGCTCACTTCTTATAATTAGTTTTGACTGACCACCAATTCAATTCATATGAAAGACTTCCACTACACAGCTACGCCTTCGTTCAATGACAAGTAATATGGTGGACTGGAAATGGATTAGGAAGCACTTGCCTTGGGTTTTAATGATCTAAATAGGAATCATCTCTAGTGTTAGCTTTTAAGGTAGTTTGGTAGGAAATTAATTTGTAGTGTAGAAAATCAAATGACATGCATTTTTTATCCATACGACAAGTCAAGTGTGCTTAATAAAGTATCCAACATCAGTGCAGTCCATACCATCGTGATTTAGATATCCAATGTTGAGTTAGTGTATGAGTGTATCAAAACTTGTAACAATAAAGATTATTCCTTACCTTCAACTCTGATATCTCTTGATCTCGTTTTGCAATATTGACTATAAAAGCAGCTTCTTTTTTCTTGGCTTTCTCCAGCTGATGAAGCAATTATATTTAGATAAAAGAGAATTTGTAGGTCATAATACTATAATAGAGAGTACTATGTGTTAATTATTTAAAATAATATAAGAACACAAAACACCTGTTCCTGTAATAACTCTTCAGATGACCTTAGGTTATGCACATAGTTGACCACAAATCTAGGTTCTACAAGGAAAAAGATCAAATGAAAAATGTATCATTTTAAGGAAACCAAATAAACACAGGAGCCTTCTATATTGTAGACCAGATGGAGTTACTCAATCAAACATGATATATACACCCATTCATGAGACCTAAAAAATCAAGCAAAGAAACATGTCCACATATGAATAAGACACAATGGAAATATTGTCCTTGCACAAACCAGGGGTGGACCCAGAAGCTATGAAAGGTTCCCTCAGAAAGGAAGAATGCCACTTTTGTAATTCAGACTTTGCAGCTTCAAGTTCCGACTACAACACGTCAGAAAAAAATAACAGTGAATTTACGATTTGATAACCATTATTAATCAGTAAAAGTTTGAATTTTGTTAATACTTTACTGGTTAGTAACAGCATGAATCTAGTAGTTTTGCTGATGCAAGGCAAGAGCGTAGAGTCATGCTCAAATAATTAATGTGGAGTGGCGAGGTTCATAGACTCCCAATGAATTTTTATATTTATTATTTGATGTATGTCAACACATAAATAAATAAATAAATAAATAAATAAATAAATAAATAAATAAATAAATAAGTAAATAAATAAATAAATAAATAAATAAATACCTATTTACCCATAGAGAGAAAATCAGAAATCAGAATTATACTTTTATCATTTGGGGATTTTCCTTGGCTATTAGATTTTTTAAAGTGAGATTTTGAGTGCTCAAAAAAGGTAACAATGAATTAAAAATAGATTACCATTATTAATCCGTAAAAGTTTGAATCTAGTGAATCCTTTACTGGTTAATAACAGTATAAATCTAGTAGTTTAGCTGATGCAAGGCAAGAGCGTAGAACAATGCTTGAATAATTAAAGTGGAGTGGTGGGATTCATTGACTCCCAATGGAATTTGTATGTTTATTATTTGATGTATGTAGTATGCATATATAAATTAAAAAAATAAAACATAAATAACTACCTATTTACCCATGGAGAGAAAATCAGAATTATACTTTTATAATTTGGGGATTCTCCTTGGCTATTAGATTTTTTTTAAGTGAGATGCTTCATGCTTGCTTGAGAGAGTTGAGTAGAGTGCTCTTTATTTTCTGTTAGTCATATTTAGTATCTACTCCGGGTATCAATTTGGCATGAGACATAGTTATCAGTTATCACGGGATTCACGGCAACAAGGCAAGGTGTGGCGCTAGTGAACTGCCAGGAGGCCTAGTCGACAAGGCGACTAGTCATAAATTATTAAAAAAGTAACACTAATACAATTATTAATACTCCCTCCATCCCTAATTTATAAATTTGTGTTTTTTCCTAAGTGTGTTACCTTGTTCCCTAAAAAAAGTGGTTTACCTTGTGATAATTGATAAATGAGAGTTTTTTATGATTACTCTCTCAATGATTACTGAGATTGAAGTTTATGAATTACAAAATATTATATAATATATTGATATTAATGTTACGATATTTATCATTTGTGATCTTGGCTGGCCACTAGCATTGTGCCCTACCAGGCCGCCACGCCTTGCCTAGGCGTCCTGGTGGTTCGCTAATCGCTAGAGCCTCGGCTTGGCTCCATGATAACCTTGATTTGGGACATTGGAGTATGGTGCCGATGGACCAGAGCACCTTCTTTCGTTTAGGCAAGGCGAGTGACCCACGAGATGCTTCCACTGCCGGGATGCAAAAAATTGCTAACAGGTACCCTATATTTTGTGATAATAACTACCAGGTACCTTATGTTTTCAAAATGTACCATGAGGTACCTTAAAATATGAAAAAAGTGACCGCGGAGGGACTTTCTGTTATTCCTCCGTCAAACCCAATCCACCGTCAACTCCATCTTTCTTTCTTTTTTCCCCTCTTCCTCTTTCGACATATAGGAATTCTGTGAGAAATATAGGAACCCAATCCACCGTCAATTCCATACACATACCCCATATAGGAATTCACAGAAAATACTTCTTTCCCTCTCCCTCTTAAAAGAAAGGACTGGATACTTGATTCGATTCTGGACATGTTCATACAAAAACTGAAAATTGAAAAAAAACAAAAAACAGAGCAAGAGAGAGAGAGACCAGGGCGAGTTTCTTGTAAGCAGATCTGAGTTTGGCCACGCTGCATTCCTTGTTCAATCCCAGCACTCCGTACAGATCTTCTTCTTCTTCTCCATTCCTCCTTTTCTCTTCTTCTCCTCTTTCCATATTATTTTCTCTCTTTCCCGCCTTTTTTTGGGTGTCGACGAATTATAACACGATCAATCCCCAATGCATATTCCAATTAACAGGCTCGGAAAAAAAGCATTCGATTAATTTTTTTCCCCTATCTAAGCAGGGGAAAAATAAGGTTCAAGAACACACACACACACACACACACACACACACACACACACACATATATTTATATATGAGTACAGGAAAACTGGGAAAGAAATTTATTTATTTATATTTTGTGAGAAATTAGATTTGGACTTGTGCACCTGTGTATGGGGTAGGCACTCCTGCAAGACTAGACTGTTGGGAGAAGAAGAAGAGAGAGGTCGAAAGAAGAAGAGGGGAAAGAAGAAAGAAAGAAGATGGAGTTGACGGTGGATTGGGTTTGACGGAGGAAGAACGGAAAGTCCCTCCGTGGTCACTTTTTTCATATTTTAAGGTACCTCACGGTACATTTTGAAAACATAAGGTACCTGGCAGTTATTATCACAAAATATAGGGTACCTGTTAGCAATTTTTTGGCCGGGATGTCTAGGCCACATCTTGATAACAAAGACTATATGAAATCTTTTGAGAGACACTTGAAGGTTAGACTGGAACCATTCATGATAAATATTAGTATGTCAACATATCTCCAACCTATGTTAGAATGGTATAGAGCAAAGTAGTGACCACCCAACTATCTAAATTATAAAAATAATAAAAGTTCACATATTAAGAAACCACAGTTCAGAAATGGATTGCATAAGTAATTTCAACATAAATGGTAATAGTGCACACGTCACACCTGACAAGTTGCAAGTGTTTCTTCACAGTTCTTGAGACTGCAAAATTTAAGACACATTTTTCAAAGAGAATTTAAGACACATATAATTACAAATATTAGTGGCGTGAACTCAAAAGATACTAATCGCATATACATACACATCATAATTGGTAATACCTCTCGCGAAGGGACAATATTGTCCCTGTTGCAGCACCTGGAGCAGTTTCTTCCGATCTTATGTTACCCTGCATTTTAGGAAAATAAATTGTTATTGTAAACTACATCAAGTTAAAATTGAAAGGCTAATTATTGCAAAAATATGAGCATTTGCAAATACAGAAACTACTATCCACTTTAGCAATGCACTATCATGATAATACTTCCCAAATTCACTGTGGTGGAAGCTCCAGTTTTAATTAGAACTCCTAATACTTCTAGGGTTCCTACAACTGACAATGGGCAAACATTATCAGTGATATAACGCCATAAAAGTGAAGTATAGAGCTCAGTCCGAATCACATGCTTTAAATTGGGTTAAAACACCCTTGTCACCAGCTTGGCTCAACATGTGTTTACAGGCCAAGGTCCTACTGACATTATACTTTATCCATCACCCTTCACTTGAATGTAAACTGTCTATATACATCAAACATTTATATGGAATTTAGCTATTCTGATAAGTAGCTTACTTGTCATTTTCACATTATATTTCCTATTGCTATAATGTTTATCACGCTTCAAATATGAAGATCTACTCCATATAAGATTATAGATAGGTCTAAAGATCTAAACCATCTTATTGATTGTCTGAATTTCTCAATAGGCTTCACAATGAAGTCAAAAACAAGTCAACAAAAAACCTAGTATAGTCCCAATGCCCGTTGGGATGTAGGGGGTCAAGATGTTTGCAGACTCACCCATGTAAAAACAGAGAGGCTGTTTTTGTTCGACATGATGCACTGATGAAATTACTGCCCAAATTTCATAGGATGTAGGAAACAAGAAAGGTTTAATGTATGCTTTCATTGAGTCTATTATTCACCTAAAGCTATATCATTGTCAAAACCAACTCTTTTAGCCTGATCGACAATGCCCTCATTCTCCACTAGACAATGTTTTAGCTTCAAGTAAATTAAGGATCAAATCAAAATGACACATTAAACTTCCTTTGCTTCTTACACTCAATGATGTTTTAGGTAGTTAATGGAGCAATGAACTAAAGATCTAACACATTACATCCCTCCCCCCCCCCCTCCCCCCACAAAAAAATACCCCAACGGTGATGGATTAGAGCATCTTTAGTGGTAAGGGAATGTTTGAGAAATGGTAATGTGGAATAGGGAAAAATGGGGAGAATGATTACGGGGAGGGGAAAAGGAGAGGGGGGAACTCACTTTCCCCGGGGAAAAAAGAAAGAAAAGAGAAGAAAAGAGAAAAAAGAAATTTAAAAGAGAAACAAAGAGAAAGAGAGAAAAAATGAAGAATGATTTTTTTACAACTGTAGAATTTTTTTAAAATCATTAATTTTGTTTATTCAAATTTTGTGGCATATATGCTTTTATTAAAATTTAAATATATACTTTTTAGAATTTAATTTACTTTTTTTAAAAACAAATCATTTTAAAATAAATTTATGACATGTGAGGCCCATGATTAAAAAAGAGAAAGGAAATTGTGAGGAACTACCAAAGTGGTAGTGTGGGGAAATTTAGGAGGTTATGTGGCATTAAAAATAGGAGAGAAAGTCAGAAAGAGGGGAAAGTATGAGAATGACTAAAGATGCTCTAATTGGGTTGTTGTAGTGATCCCAATTGAGGGATAATTTTGGACAGTGAACTACTATTTACTTATTTTGTAGAAAATCCGTGCAAATACAGAAAAAGAACTTGCAGTTCAGGGTCTTTTCTTTTGGGTTCTAACTCTTAACTTCCAATATTTTCTAACTTCTTCCAGTTCTTTGCAACTTCTTCTAGTTTCTTCCAATTCCTTCCACTTTCTCCAACTCCTCGGGCATATTCGACCTCCTTCCCTTTCTTTCCAACTCCTTCCAGTCATTTTCAACTCTTTTCAGTTTCCTCCAAGAGTTACTTTAAATAATTACTCCTTCCATCCCCAAATAAAATTTTCACTTTCTTTTTTCACTCATCCCAAAATAAACTTCTCACATCTTTTCTTTCCATAAAAGGAAATGAATAAGTGGCTAATAATGTTTCTCTCTTCTCTACACAGATTTTATCCACACACATATCACTTTTAACAACTTTTTTAAGCTCCGTGAAATCAAATTAAGGCCATGTTCTCTTAACCTTCTCTGAATGGTTCTTTCTGATCTAAGATCTAATCTGAAGTGAACTGATTCCAATAAGAAAAAGTAATAAATAATAAGAATAATTTGAAGAGAACATGGCCTAAGACTTTTATTTAAGAATGGAGGAAGTATTTAGGTGTATTTTCATATTAGCCTTATTACAATTACTATTATTATCAATGTCAATGAAATGATAACAAAATTATAATAATGTCACAATTTATACAAAAACTATTTCCTTTGTCCCCAAAACAAATTCTGATTACTATTATAAGTCAACATCAAAAATTAAAATGTTAAATTAATTAATTTATTATATATTTCCCTTTGTAATTTTGCAATATTCAATGATTATGTTTCTTTGAAACGACACTAACTTGTATCAAATTTTAGTTTCTAAATTACTTTATTAAATTTTGACAACTCAATTAATTAATTTTTATAATATAATCAATTTGCAATTACACTACAAAAAAAATTAACAATGTACAGTACGTTTTCATTGATAGAACTTTTCAAATTATGCTACGGGTTTTTTAAAACTATTGAACCATCACGAAATGTGCCGTGACTTAAATTTTAAACTTCCCTTTGTACCTAATTTAATTACTTCCCTCCAATATTATTAAATTTTGCTAAATAATCGTACGCTATTTTTTCTTTCCCTCAAAATGATTAAGAAAATAGTACTGTACATCCAAATGTACTCATTGGTAACAATAAATGTTACCTTTGTGTCAAATAAATCTTATATGTTTGACTTTCACTAAGTTTTAAAAAAAAGTGTTGAAAAATTAAAAAAAAACTATATTCTTTTGGGGATGAACAAAAATAGAAAAAGAGTGAAGATTCTTGCGAAACACAAGAAGTACGAGCATAAAAACTACAAAGTAATTAGAAAGTGAATTGTGGGTGGGCAAAGAAGAATTCCTTTTATATCTAAACTTGATTTTCTTGCACATTTACTTGGGTGACTTTTTCTTTTTTATAAGGTAGTGGTTTGATTTTTACTTTTAAAAAAGAATAATATACTTTCTCCCATTGGTCACTTTTGTGAGACACAACACACCTTGTAATTGTTTTAGTGTATAAAGTGTGGTGTTGGATCATTTTTGTTTTCGAGATAATGTTGGATTATTTATATCAAATTTTCCTTTCAATTGAGATTAATATACAATATTGCTCTCTGTATCCACTATTTTTGGAACATGAGTTAGCAGGCATGTCAAGAAACAAAATTTGTATTATTGATATTGTTGTCAAAAAATGTAATATAAATTAATAATGAGAATGAGTCACAAAAATAATACTCATCTTCCCCGAAAAAATTTTAATTTGGTTTGGCACAAAATCTATGAAAAGTAAAATTGTGTGGTTGAAAGTGAGGCAAAAGTGTGAGAAAGATTGTGAGTCACAAAAATATCCAAAAATGGAAAGGGAAGCCTTTTTTGGGATATCCCGAAAACAAAATGAGAAGTCTTTTTTTGGGATCAAAGATTGTAATAAATATGGTTTAAAAAAATACTGTGACATAAAAAAAATATAAAAAAGACAAATAATGAAACAACATCAACCAAGTAGAATCCCCCGAGAGTAGGGTATGGGGTGGGTATGTACGTAGACCTTACGACTACTCGAAAGAAGAGAGGCTATCTCCAAAAGAGACCCTCACCTCGAGAAAACACATAACGCATAGAAAGCAAAGAGCACGACAAAATAAGCACCTAGCAATAAACGAGAAAGGAAAGAAACACACAATAGAAAAAATACAGAGAAGCATGCAATAACAAGTGGAGAAAACTATCACCAAGTCCAAAAGCCTACCCAACTATAGTAGTCCAATCATATCCTCGGTAAAGCCAAAAAATTCAGGTCATGCCTAATCACATCCTTTCAATTGAAATAAATGGAGTAGAACAACAACTACAACCCAGTTGAATCCACAAGAGTAGGGTTTGGGGAGGGTGTGTGTACGCACACTAAACCCCTACTAGAAAGTTGCATTGATGCTACTTCATTAATGAAAGAAGCGCAGAGAGTTTAGAGATCCATTTTGCTATATTCCATCACACCCCAAAGCCATAAAAACATGAAATTTCAAAAATATAATATTCATTTCAACACCTTTCATTTTTTCCAAGATTTTCCAACTTCTTTCTATTTCTTTCAACTCTTTCTAATTTCTTTCAACTCCTTCCTATTTCTTCCAAGTTCCAACTTCTTCTAGTTTCTTCCAACTTTTTCCAATTTCTTTTAACATCTTCCAATTTCTTCCAACATTGCAACATTTAACTACTATTCTGCACAACCATTTTTGAAACGATGGTCACAAACTCCCAGCTACAGAGAAAAAGTGATGTAGCGACTTGATCCTTTTTCAAAAGGCATTCCATTCTTCTTTTCCTTCACTTGAGGCGTCAAGTTATATTTCATAGTACCCTTTTGCATCCTCTTCCTCATCATATGATTAATGATACATATTTTACCCTCGATTTACTCAACTCAGGTCTATTGATTACTGAAATTGTTAAAGGCCTTCAAATTTGGCGAATGTAGGGATTGAACAAATGAATGCAATCAGGCTAAATCATCTCAAATCCTTAAAATACATGGGTCGCAGGACAATATCCTCTATTTTTCTAAAGCCGGCTTCGTTGATGATTCCCAACTTTTGCTTATCGCTTCTCTCAAGTGGAAGGCTTCATTGGTAACAGAGTATTTTTTTTTTAACTGCTATCTCCTGGCATCTTATCTTCGTTAGTTCATTTTTTTCTGCAAATCATTAATCCAATGATTCCCATCTTCTCGCTAATTAGTTTTCTCAAATGACGGCTTTTCTGGTTAAAGAAAATCTTTCTTTTTGAAAATGACAAAGCCGTGATTTCTATATCATTTAAATGCAAGACAAATAGAAAAATAAGCAGTGTAGCTAGACTGCCAGAGATGAATTTAGGGAATATAACAGCAGTTTGATGCGTAAATGGCCTAAAGTCATTGAGGGACTTGATATTCCAATTATGACATGCTCAAAAAATGAACCAGGCAGATCTATATATCCTTTGATTCCGATTATGATGTCTAAACTGGCAAATCAAACATTTCCCTGGTTCAAGCTACTTTAAATTGATATGCTAGGAGGCAGGTTCAAGCCAGTTTACCAACAATCAAGAATGGATATACATCATTAACAGTTAACACACTACACAACTGATACAAAGAGGCAAGTGCATGCTAGCTTCCCATTGTTTTTCAATACCTCCCCAACTTCCCTGGTTTAGAAAAATGTGATGCATGACAGAGAGCCCCAAGGACTCATCCAAAGAGATTGATAAACTCAAGCATGCTTATTTTATTAGAGAAGAGCTTGACTAATCAGTTGGAGATTAATAGATAGTCATTTAGCTTATTAGTTACGGACAGTTATCATTAGCTATAAAATTTGATTAGTCTAGAACTTAGTTCTTATATTTAAGATAAACTTGTCTTGATTTTTGATCATTCTCTTCACGTAACTGGGTATCTATTACAATTAAATATGGAAATAATTTAGGCAAAATAGCTATGGGAGTCTTGGGACCCCAAACATGTCCAAACCAAGTTTGGGATCTCAAAACCACAGCACAAACTCATATTTATTTTTATAGAGTTCTAGCCTTAAAATTATAGTGTAGCATGGACTCATGGAGCATACAACGATTCCAATTAAGGTTCTTGGTAATAGAACCAGAACTAGACAATGTCAACCCCTATTATCCACAATTACAATAGTTTATAACAGTTGGGTAGTTGCAAAGGTGGTAGCCATAGTAGCCATCTGTTATTAATGTTAACTTTAGAAAAAATTTAAAAACATGTTTCTTAGTTTTTTTGTTTGCAAATTCAAGAACGATTTCCGAGTTCTAAAGATGAAGAGAGGTGAAGATAAAATGTTTTATGTGTTCTCAAATTGGATAATTCCTAAAGTATCACTTTTTTTGTTTTTTTTTTTTTGCCAAAACTTTTTTTGTTTTTGTTTTCTAGAGCTTCCTACTTAAATTCACGGGAAACTATAATAAAATTGTTGTCCTCAAAACTGTGATGCTTCACTAATGTTTTCCAGCCATAATCTACATAAAATGCAGAATAAAAGGATTTAATGGCACAAAATAAAGCAAAATTACGTAGGTAGTAATATCTTCTACTACTAAAAAGGGCAAACGCATAGAATCAGAGAATAAAAACCTTCTTGGAGCCAAAAATATCCTCTTTTTCATCATCGAGCTCTCCAAAGCTTCTCTTAGACCCTATCATCAGACTTTTCTCACTTCCGTATACACTTCAATTACTATGCATAAAACAAGCAAGGAAGGGAAGCTAAATAAAAACCTGGACGCCGTGTTCCGGAGAAATCGCCGCCAAAGTCATCCTCCTGCGAGTTTAACAAGACTTAACCGAAGAACATGCAAAATGAAAAAAAAATGGAAGATTTTCAAGAACAGGACTCACATCATCGAGATGATTAGGCGACGTCATTGGATAGATTTGAACACACAGGTGAAATTGATATCCGAGCTTACGCGATTGTGTAGACAGCAGTCTATTGAAGAAGAAGCGAATTTATTTTCTATTATTATTACTATATTTCTTTTCTTTTTTTAGGAAGAAGCAAAAATTGAAAAGGAAAAGCTGTTCATCCGTGGGAATAAGACCGGATCCGACGAGACCACATAGTTGTACGGATATGGCGATATCCTATTGAGGGCATGTCTCTCCAAGAGCATGAATAATGGTGAGGCAAAAATGGAATGCCACACGCTGACGTGGAACATTTCAACCAATAAGAAATAGTCCAGTCAACGAGTGGCAAAAGAGTGGAGTGGTATGCTCTGCAGTGGCAAGTGATTGTTTTTATTATTCTTTTTTTATTTTTTCCCATATTAAATTATTTGAAGTTATTTAACCTGTTTTTTATCATAAAAAATATTTCTATTAACTCAAAATTATTTAATTTATTTTTTTCATTAAAATGCTTCTACTTTTTTTAAAAAAAAAACTTCTTTTTTATGCAAACAAATAAAATGACAATAATTTTATCTCAGTTTTTACTTTTCTTTAAATATTTTGATTATTTGAAATTATTATTGTTATTTCTTTTTTTCTCAGTTTTTATTTTTTATTTCTTTAATAAAAAAATACCTCTACTTTCTTACAAAAAAATAACTTTTTACTTCATAAAAAATTAAAAAATATAAAAAGACATGATAGAATGCCACGGTCATGCCTCTCCTTGCATGGCATATTTAGATAGCCACGAGAGGCAAATGTCCATTCCTGCTGATGTGGCGTGGAAAGGCAATGAGCTACTCGCCGTTGTTGTTGCTCTAAACTTCCCAACCTCTTTTGAGCCTACCGGGGGACATATAAATATTTTCATGTTACGTCTCGTATTCTCATATATATATCGGAGGGGTTCTAGTGACACCGAAGTACGATGACACTCCAGTGCTACTGTGGGGGGCTTACGGCGGGGTTGGGG